AGGACTTCTATGTTCCATCATGACTTTCTGTACACAAGAGCATTCATACAGAAGAGAAACCCTACAAGTGTTAAATATATGGCAATGTCTTTAAAACTTCATGGATTCTTTCTCATTTCATAATCCACTCTGGAAAGAAACCCTACTGTGAAGAATATGAAAAAGCCCTATGTAAAAAGTCATACTTAACTCAGCACAAATTATCTCACGGGAGGAAACCACAAGTGCAAGGAATGTGGCAAAGACTTTAGAACTTAAAAACACGTTCTCCACACCCGGCTTTTCATACTGGAGAGAAACATTAAAAGTGTGGAAAATGGCAAGGTATTTTATAAGGCTTATGGCCTTAAACAACATCAAAGAATTGATTTGTGAGAGAAACTCTGAAGAATATGCCAAGATTTTTTTGTACTTACTAAGAAGTCTTGAATCACCTGATCACTCATACTGGAGAGAAATGTCATTAGTGCCATAAATTTTGAAAATACTTTTATGAGCTTTCTAGTACTTCTCAAGGTAGTTCAAACTTCAGTGAAATAATACAAATGCCAAAATGTTCATAATATGTTTTCTACTTCTTGAAACTCTAAAAGATATCAAAATATATTCTAGATAAAAATCCTTCAATTAGGTGGGATATCCTAATGCTAAGAGGAAAATCCGGGAAACAGAGATAGAAAGAAGGAGTAGGTAGAGTCAAGGAAAAACCATGTATGTTCCAAAAGAGAAAGATGACAGAATATTGCCATTAAGCCACAGCCTCGTGGTGATACATAGATTAATAGAAATGAGCTAATTTAAGATGTAAGAGCTAGCTAGGAATATGAGCCGTTGGCCAAACATGCTGTAATTAGTATAGTTTCTCTGTGATTTTTCCTGTCTGTGTGTCCGGGAAGTGAAAGAACAGTCTCTGTTTACATACCTAACTCAGGATGAAATAACTCACACTGGAGAAAAGCCTTACAAAGATCTAGAATGGCAAACCTCTCAACTGTACCTGAAACCTTAAGGAACATCAAGGAATTCATTCTGGAGAGAAACCCTACACGTGTAAAGACTGTGGCAAAGACTTTAGAGCTTACATATAACATTGTCAGCAGCAGACTGTTCATATTGGAGAGGAAGAGTAATGACTGGGGCTCATGGCAAGGTCATTCACCAGCCTTCTGGCAACTGAAATGGCCCTTTTTCTCCCCTAATTATTGGTTGGCCATGGCATTTATCACTACAATAGAAATCAAACAGGGTAAAGAATATTGCAAGACTTAAGCTTGGTGGTGGTTGCACACCACCCTTGGGAGGCAGAGGCAGGCGGATCTCTATGAGATTGAGGTCAGCCTGGTCTACAAGAGCTAGTTCCTGGACAGGCCCCAAAGCTGCAGAGAAACCCTGTCTTGAAAAACAAAAAACAAACAAAAGAATATTGCAAGACTTTACCATTTCTTATTATCTTAGTTAACATAGAAGGCTCCGTACCGCAAATAATGTCACAAGGTTTTGACGTTTCTTCAACCATAAGTCACATTCAAACTTCACTGAAAATGAAACTGTTGCAAAGACTATTACAAAGACTTTATTGCTTTTTATCTGCAATTTAACACCCAAAAAAATCATATCTTGAAAGTTACGGCCTACCAGGCCAAAAGGAGCCAAGCTGGAGTCTGTCTGGTGTTGTCAGAGGTTCTGTTGATAAGGAGCAACCAAGCAGTGTTTCCTGAGGACCTAGCAACAGGTGCTGTTAGAGGTCCTGATTGTGCCTAGCCAATGAGAGTTGAGCATGAAATGTCAAGTGTCAATAAATCAGAAGGCCTGATTGCTGGGAGGGCATATAAGTTTTTCTTGTTATTAAACAAACGAGTCTGCTGTAAACCTATTTGATTCCCGGCGTCTGTGATTATTGATGTCACGCCTTTTCACCCCCTCCCCTAAGGAAAACCTTAGGGCCCAGCAATATCTGGCCCCTGGAACAGGGACTTCTAACAGGTTTTGAGCTCACCTGCTCAGAGTCCTTTTTTCATTGTTGCTGTAATTTTTGTATTTGCCCGGCACAGGGTCTTGTCATCTTCCTCTCCTCACTGGCAGTTCTGCACAGCGCACCCAAAGGTGTACTTTTGGTGAAAGACCCCTCGGTTCCTTCAGCGGGTAAGCATAGGGACCCCCATCCTTTCCAACTTTGGAAGGGCCCCCTCAGTCCCATCCGCGGGTGAGTGTCCTTTCCTTCCTTTGAAAGGCCCATCAATCCCTTTGACAAGTAAGCATTGGGACCCATATTCCTTCCTTTCTCTTTATCTCCCCATCTACTTAGGAAGGCATTTTTTTTTCCTTTTTCGGCTCACCCTAAGGGCTGACCCCCCAGGAGCCAGAACCAACTTTTGGCTCATCCAGAGATATCGTGTGTGCAAATGGCTGTGGCCTAAAGAGCCATAGAAGTTCCTCACTGATCACTAGACATAGGGGTCTGATGCAATTTCCCACCCCTGTTTACTGTGGATTGTCATCTCTCCTCTCAGAGGGGTGCTGACAGGCAGGGTGGAGTGACCTGTCATCTGTGAGCGTGCCACATTGGCCCCAGCAGGGAGACGTGAGCTGCTGAAGGTTCACGAGATGAGGGCCTGGAGGCCTGTGCTGGGCAGCCCTGAGGTATGTGAGCTGTGACTGGTGTGAGCTTCCTGCTCGACTGAGGTCTCAGGGTGCTGGCTGAGGTGTGGGCTCAGAGGTAATAGTCTTCCCTAGACTGGTGTGCAACAAGGCCACAGTGAAGGCTCTGGGCCCCGCTTTGACCTCCGCTGGACTGTGTACCCGTCATCCAAGCCTCCTACTTCATCAGGTGATTCTGTCCTTCTAGGTGGCCCCAATAGGTCTGTCGTCCTGTGCAGCTGACAACGCTGACCTCACAGTAGTGCATCACAGTAGTGCATGGAGGGTGGCCTGGCCCCATTGGGCTTCTGCAGCCTGGGGCCCACGTTGGGCTTCTGCAGCCTGGGGCCCATGTTGGGCTTCTGCAGCCTGTCCAGGAACCGCAGCATGTCACTGGTAAAGCCGGGGTCCCAGGTCCTGTGGCCTGGTCTGCCCTAGTTGTCCAAGCCTACTAGAGACTTTCAGGAGCCTGCTGCTTCTGAGGTGCCTGAAGAAACTTCAGTGGGTGGTCTGGCTATGGGAGCTTGGGCCTGTTCCGCAGAGAGAGGCTGAAGCTGGCTGCTGCTGTGTGGCCCCACAGCTCCTGGGACCTTTGACTCTCGACAGCTGGTAGGTAAATGCAGCTGTGGCTACAGCTTCATGCTGCTGCTGTCTGTGTGTGCCCCTCCTACCTGGGGCTGAACTTTAGTTGGGTGCCGCTGGCTCTTGGGCTTCTTGGCTGGTGCTGCTGGAGCCACGGCCTTGAGGCCAGCTGCCTGTGTCGTGTACTGGTGCTGTTGGAGGGCAAGGAGCCAACTGTGCACCTGGGCATGCATGTCTGCAGTCTGCCCACCTGGGTCCATTGTCCAGACGCTGAAAGAGTAGAATTGTAGTGATGAGGCCAGCGGGCCTGCTTTTCGCCCCGCCCGGCTCCTGCACAGCTATCTTAGCCCCAGAAATAATAACAGAAACTGTATTCATTTAACACTGCCTGCCCCATTATCTGTAGCATCTGTTTTGTTTTTTTTTTTTTTTCTTTTGGTTTTTCGAGACAGGGTTTCTCTGTGGTTTTGGAGCTCTTGTAAACCAGGCTGGTCTCGAACTCACAGAGATCCGCCTGCC